AATATATAGTTTCAAGAATCTTAATAAAGTACTAGCGTAACTGCTTAAGGTTAAAAAAAAAAAAAAAAAAAAAAACAAACTCACTTGGAAATGATGTTCCAAGACAAACTCAAACAACAGAAATATGCTATGGAGGGTATTGTACTTTTCAGACAAACCCTATTAGGTTATATTCTAACAAACTTAAAACAAACTTGCCTTGCAGTAAAACTCTGTAATGTTACAATAAGAAAGAGAGATTTTATTTCAGAAATGATTAAAGAAGCATTCGAGGACTTTGGATCAATTAAGTCAATCAAGCCATTAGTCTACAAGGATACTCCAATCTGTACTAACCAATGAATAATAATTTATGAAACAACTAATGATCCTGACCTTGAGAGTAAAATTCCGAGACACACTAGTGTCTGGAGACAAAAAGTTTTAACAGAATAGAAATTGGCATCCAGGGTTTGTTTCTACTGCGATCAAACTGGACACATCAAAAAAGATTGTCCACAATTCAAGGAGGTACTAAGCACCAGACAGCACTATAAAAAATCTAAGATGAATAAGCACAGTGAAGAGAACATCTCTCCTAATAATTATGTTTTCAGCAAAGACAACCCATACCTAAATAACATAAAAGACGGAAGGGAAAACAATGTCACAACACCAGATATTATGATGAGTGATAACGAAGATGTCATATCACAAGGTAAGGAAGAAAACCTGAAAAACATAATTGAGAATGAAAAGGATACAGAGAATGATAAAGCTTCACAAAACAATACAACTAACGAACTAGACATGGAAGTGAACAGAACATCAAATACAAACACTGACAGAAACCTAACCTCAGAAGATGGCTTCACAACAGTAACTTACAAAAAACATAAGACTAAAACGCAAAACGATAATGAACAATATCACCATAAGCCTTATAATAAAAATAGAAAAATCAGGGGAAGTTTCTTCTGCAAAAATAAGGCTTAACTGCTAGAGGATCAAAGTGTAGTAGCTCTCTAAATACATACCAATAATGAACAAAAAATTGCTACACTAAACGTCAAGGGATTAAATAATAAACACAAATATCAAAAAACATTGACGCTCCTAAAAACATATAAATTAGATTTAATCATGATACAAGAAACGAATTTAAACAATTCAGATACAAGAAATTTCATAAAAAAGCAATGGCTATACGACTCACACTGGACTCCAAAAACAGCAATCCTTACTGGAAATAGAGACATTATCTTCGAAAATATACAAGACTCGCTAAATGGAAGAGTAATTGATGCCACATTTCAGTTTAAACAACGAACATTTCATATCACTAACATTTATGCGCCACCAAATATAGAAGACAGAGGCAGATTCTTTGATAATTGGACTACAAGAGTGAATGATAATATGATAAATATAGTTGCAGGAGACTTCAACATGAACTTGAATCCGAAAGACAACAGAATCAGTCAAGCCAGTGCTCACAGTGACCCTACTAGAGAAAAGCTCAAAGCGTTAGTAGCAAACTATACCGATACAGCTGACATAGCAAAACAACAACCATTTCTCACCTTTTTTCAAAAAACAGAAGTGGTCAAGTAATGGCTACAAGGCTCGATTACATATTTATTGATGAAAGTCATACTCAATTCTGCAAGCACACGTCAACAAGATATGGCAACTCTGATCACCTACTACTAGAAAGTGATCTAGTATTAACAAGGACTGCACCACAAACAGCTTACTGGAAGCTGAATAGGTGAAGTTTACAAGACCCTAGAGTTCGAAAAGAGGTTACAGAAATACTGGAAGATACTCAATCAATAAACAACTGGGACTGGCAGAAGTATAAAATACAGTCAACAATAAGAGGCTTTAAACCTTCAGCAGCTCCTGAAAACAGAATTCAAAAGCTTAACATGAAAATTACAAAGTTGAACACGGAGATCGTGAGAGACTCTAGAAAAGCAGATCTGCAAATTGTAATTAACCAGCTATCAAACAATTTGCAAGATGAACTAACAAAACTTGCGGAGAAGTGGCAAATCCGATCCAAAGCGAGCTGGATAGAAAAGGGTGAAAGATTGACTAAATATTTCTTTTTACGTTATAAAACCCGCCACACAACATCAGCTGTAAATAGAATTAGAATCCCCAAGGAACCTAATAATACAAACACTAAAGACATCCTACACTATATCAAGAACGAATACGAAAAACTGTACAAAACAGAATTAATTGATATAGAAGCAGGAAATGACTTAACAAGGGACGTACCTCACGTATCATCAGAACAAAATCAGGATCTAGTTAAGCCAATCTCAACAAAAGAAATATCAGATGTTATAAATGCACTCCCAAACCACAAATCTCCAGGCACAGATGGACTTACGTACGAATTTTATAAAGAAATGCGAGATACTGTTGTGCCAGTACTGAACAAGATTTTTAATGAAGTACTAAGCACAGGCGACATGCCAAACTCCTGGTGCAAAAATATTATAACTCTCATCCCGAAAAAAGCAGAAGCCTTAGAGGCAATAAATAACTGGTGCCCTATATCACTCATTAATTGTAATACTAAAATTTTTATGAAGGTAATAGCAAATAGGCTAAATCCTATATGTGCCAATATAATCGGTAACTATCAATGAGGTTTTATCTCTGGACGGTCAATAATAGATGTGACATTAGACATTCTAACCACTATGCAAAACCAAGAAAATCAAACACAGGCACACTGGATGCTCTTTCTTGACCAGAAAAAAGCATTTGACAAAGTCAATCATGACTTTTTACAACACATATTAGAAAGAACGAAGTTTGACCCAGCCTTTATCAAGATAATAAGAACACTCTTTACTGCTCAAAAGACTCATATAACGGATGCTGGAATAATTTCAGAACCTTTCAGAATAGAAAGAGGGGTTAGACAGGGGGACCCGCTTTCCCCCCTTCTTTATGTAATAGCAATTGAACCTCTTCTAAGAGCTATAAACAAAGAACTCAGAGGTATCACTACAAATGGAAATAATTTCAAAATAGCAGCATATGCCGATGATCTTACAATAGGATTATCTTCACTATCAGATTGGGAAGTCCTCCTTGATTTAACAAAAAAATATGAATCTGCGTCTAATGCTGCAATTAATAAGCTAAAATCAGTAGTAGTCCCTCTCACGAATAATGCTACATGAGCAGAAGTAGAGGAAATTGCAGACTTCAAAACTCTAAAAGAGAATGAGGCAGTAAGGATATTAGGATACAACGTAGACATACATGGAAAACCAGAAAAAGAACTATGGCCGAAAACGATTCTAAAATTAAAAAGTCTTCTTGAAAAGACATCACAACGTAATCTTTCATTTAAAGGAAAAATCCTTATGTCAAAGGCACTGTTCTTATCCAAAATTTGATACTCAGCATACTTACTCCTGCCTAGTAAAAAACATTTGTCAGAAATTAATAACCTAATAATAGGATGGATTAAAAACAAATCTCGAATGCTCCCAAGATACTCAGTATTTCAGCAGTCACAAGAATATGGAGGGATGAATGCTTCAGTACTGGGAGACATGCTGGACGCAAGATTGCTCACAATATGGTCAAAACTGCTCACAAGTGAAAACATCTGGGCCAAGATTGAAAGAAACCTAATCGAAACAAGTCTGCACACTAAAAGAAATATAGATATAAAAACCGCTCTGAATAGAACACCAATTAAAATAAAAGCATGGCCAGAGTGGTGGAGACCTTATCTGGCTGCCTGAAGACGAGCGAAAGGATACGTTACATCAAACTCAGACTCCTGGCCATGGAGCCTGGAGGATATACGTATAGCAGAAGTCAGAGGGCATGAATATACTGTAAAGAAAGCCTCCGAATATCTACAAAAGAAATCAATATGTCCAACTGCAGCCCTATCCAATGCACAACAAACAGACTGGGACTGGCTACATATAAAGCATATCACTAATAAAAAAAAGGATATCTTCTGGCGGCTTCAACACAAGGCACTACCACTCGGTTACAGACTCCTACATGTGACAAAGATAGAGAACGGAGACTGTCCAATCTGCCCAGGGGAGGTACAAACCATTGAACACTTCGGACTGGATTGTAAAATTAGTCAACATATCTGGAAAACAGTTTACAGCTCTTTTAAAGGAATTAATGAAAATGAAATCCCCCGATCGATGGAAGAGATTTTTACAGGTAAAAATATGAACCAGACACATAAACAGGAAGCTGCACGCTGGTTGAACATCAATGTGATATATGAAATATGACATTGGTACACACAAATAAAATGGGGAAAAAAACAGATACCAGACCCGATCCTCAGCTACATAGTCAAAAACAGAATTAACAAAGAACTGAAATCCCTGAAGGGGATAAAAAATAATGGTAAAAAAGACAGATTACTCCGAATTCTAGAAACTCACCCCCACCCATGTAAATATTTTTTTTCGTATAATCTCTGTATAATTAAATAAAGTACGCCATATGGCGGTTAAAAAAGAAAAAAAAAAATATCTTCAGTACAAAAATGAATTATGAAAGCGAAGAAAAACTTATTAACTTTTGCAAATGTCTTGCTGATTATCGTAAAAAACATAATCTAGATTCATATTTAAAAACTAATAAACACAAGAAATTATTGAACTTGGCAAAATATCAAATAAACAAAATTTAGCTATATTTCAAATTTAAGTAACTGATAAATAAGAAATTAACGTTGATTTAATTAAAGATTCTATTTTGGGTGTAGATGAAATCGTTCATTCTCAAATTATATTAATATTTTTAGATGATAGATGGAGGGCACTTACTGAAAAAAGCATTGTAAGGTTAAATTTTTTTATTTTTAACGAACATGATGTAAATGTTTTTTAAAATATAAATTCATAATAAATCTTAGTTTGCTAATTTTGCTAATTATGTTGATTTTACTAACTATTTTCGCTAGCTAGTTTGCTACTAATTTCCACCGGCTCTGATGTAATTGATGTTGGTGGTGTAACCTGTCATAGATTTTAGACGTGCCGCATTCAGGAATTGCGATTATGCTCAGCGATTACTTATTTAATAGGGACTTTGCACTGTAGGGTTAATAAAGATGTATTAATGATTATACACGTATAATGATGCAGTATAACTAGCAATACTCTTCTCTTCTGCTATTGTGACATAACATATTCGAAGCGCGTAGATTCAAACATGAAAAAAAAGACTTGTGAAAAAATGAATAATATTCTCATAAACGTATGTAGATATTTTCACACATAATTTTATATTTAATACAGATATGAATAAAAAAAAATTTTTAATAACACTATATAACTATAAACTTGTAACACTACAAATTTCTGATGAGTTCAAGGTGCAAGCAAGGGAAAAGGTATTTGATTATAATTTGGAATGAAAATTTGCATATAATACTATAGTATTAACATCAAATGGGTTTCTAAATATGTAATTCGATTTGATCTGAACTATCGACTCAATTCTAGCTGTTGAGTCATTAAAAAATTACAATTATATATGTTCAATGAAACTAGCTATGAGAAACTTTTATGATCAAACACAAAAAGTATCATCATTATCGTTTGCTTCACAGCCTGGTGTTTTGCAGTCATCGCTAGTTACACATGGATCACCTAAATTACAATTGTTTTTCTGGCCTCCCACTTTGCAGCCATTGGCTAAATTGTGTACACAAACAAAATTTTCGCAATTTTTAAATATGCAATCATTATCAGAGCTACAAGCAGAGCCTGAATGACAGTCACGTTTTCCATCTCCTATTGAACAAGCTATAAAATAAGAATTCCAAAATTGGATGTTAGTTCGAAAAATTGGAAACCATTATTTTTACAATGAGAATTTAGTGAAGGCGCTAGTAATTAACCTTTAATTGCCGGAGTCCATGCAAAACTAAGAATTAGGCTCAAGATTATACTAATGACGATGGTATAAAATGTGGATTTCATGACTTATATGGTGCGTTTATTGTAACTTTTTTTTCTTGTCAAGACGTATATACATTAATACGTATATATATACGTTATAAAATTACACAAATTACAGTCGTAGTTTCAGCTTTGGTGATCATTTAAATCTTTTAAGATATGATGCCCGTTTATTTTGTCTTACGGATAGAATGTTGATCAAACCACTTCCTTAAAGCAAATGTAAATTAATTGGTGAAATAAATTTAATATTATTAATATAGTATTTTTTGAATGGTCAGATTTTGTTACATTCTTTAGTTCAGGCTAGTCTATTACTAATACGATCTCTAACTTATCATATTTCAACATATAAAACAACTGTTTTTTTTTCATAAATTTCACGGATTGATTTTAAATATTCTCGAGTTTCAAATTTTCAAACTTAAGATATGATTGAAATCATGCTGAAATTATGTTATTTAATTTATTTGCTAATTGAATCGGCGTCTACTTTTTTAATAAAACATCCAGTACATTTTACACAAAGCATATTAAAAAAGAAAGCGGATTGTCGACAATAATGAATCCTATTTTTGCGTGCCAGATTAATTGATAAATTATAAGTTTTTTTCAGTGGTGGCTACGTAAAATGGAAAAAACTTCGGTGCCAAGATAATATTTAGTACTAATCAATCATATTGGAATAATGATTTTCTAATTTTTACTTTTTGCATTTCACACTATTTGAAAATTAATTCAATTATTAACTTTGATAGTTAACTTCTTTAAACACATCAGGTTTTATATTAGCGTAACAATATACAAACCCATTTTTTTATTTTATATACGAATAGTAAATGTTTTGTTGCTGTCTGATACTGTAGAAGATCGGTTTTAAAAAAAAATCCTTAAAAATTGCATAAGCTGGACACTCTAGATAAAGGTTTATCGTATATAAATGGGTGGTGAAATTAAAAAAAGGAAATTACAAAAATATCATATAATTATTGTTTTAATTTCTTTTTTGAATTTTGACACCTATTTAGAGAACTCACACTTATTACATAAATATAGCCCTCCTTCAGAGTCAGTCATTTAACAATTACAAGTTCTAAAGTAATCAATCATTTAATAATTACAAGCCAATCATATTGAGTTTATATTATGATTACTTTAGAACTTGTAATTGTCAAATGACTAACTCTGGAGAGGGTTATATTTATGTAATAAGTGTTAGTCTTCTTAAAGGTTCATACATATTAAAGTCTAATAATTGGGTCTTATTGTAAGTGATTCAAGCTTTAAAAACAACACACAGTTATTTCTTTTAGTATAAGATAATATTCCTGCACTCTTATGCATGCATACTTATCAATAATAGGATAATATATAACAATTCATTTTTTTTTTTTTAAATATTAACGGTGAGGTCATGCCTTTAACTTTATTGAAATTCAATTGAAGTTTTTACAAAGAAAAGCTTGCTTTTAAATTACATAT